TCGAGGCAGGATGCCTGTATAAGCCTTCTGTTTGGCCGCTCGGCTAACTTAGGCTTCCTGTATAAATATTACTCTTTTAAAGTTTCATCTTGTAATTACTTTTCAACATGTCTCTTCTGGACGGTACTTCGCTTAATTAATTTTTTTCTGGATATCAAGGATATCAAGGATATTATATTTGTACACTAAATTTTATTCGAGTTCTTTCAGTAGTTTATACATAAAAGAGTCAAACATCCAAGCCAAACTTACATTAAGTTGTTTAATGTTGTAGGATTTTTTATATTATTTTTCTAAAGAAACCGGTCATCCATTTTTATAAAAAAAAGTTCAGGCGCTGAGTAGGGAAGGCAGGGAGGTGTTTTTTACGCTCCCACCACCATCTCCTGCATACAACTTACCTGTTAGGCACGGAAATTTTGTAATCACTGATATTTGATGTATTAAGGAAAATAATAATAAAATTAATTAAACAATAGACTCCAATGCACCTCAGGTATAAAATAAAAAAAACAACGTACACTAAATATTCTAACAAATTTATTACGCCCGTAAATATTTTTAATATTTAATCCCTTTAGGGTTTGAATGCTAAAAGCTATAAAACAAAATAGTAGTAAAACCGTTGTCTATACAAAAACTTAAAGTATTAAAGTATTAATATAGAAGTCTCAAGGGTAAAGACGTTTTAAGTTCTTGGATGGGTTTTCAGGGTAAAATTCTGAAACACACACTTACACATTGTGCGGGTATCGAACCCACGGCGAGCAGAGGATCTGTTAATCGAAGGTCAAATCTCTGTTGGAGAAATATATATAGTAAAAAACTAACATAACAAACGTTTATGTAATCGACTAAATCAACTGCTCTATATATATATATATATATATATATATATATGCTGTAATGGGTTGTTATTAGACACTGAACGTTTTTTTTATGTCAGATAGAGTCTTTGGAATTTGGATGGGGCATCCATCCAAATTAACACCATCTATTCATAAAAGAACATGAATACTTCATACAGAGTACATAAAAGTTTGCTATTTTAGGCAGTAGATTTTAAATTATAATATAAATACTTACTGCTAAAATAACGCCTAACTTATTCATGTTAGCAAAGAGTACACAGATTGTGTTTTAGCGTCGACTATAAACATGGCTTAATTTAATCAGAGCATAACCACGTGACGTCATAGTGGATGAAATAAAGATGCAATATTCAAAAGCATTAATTATACATAAAATACGTATTAGGGGCATTAAGTATTAATAACAAATTTAAATATGGCTATAGTTTTTAGAAACTTTTTAATGCAGTTTTAACTAATGCATTCTTTAAGTCGATTCCTTTAATATTTAATACTACATGTCAATTAGTTTACAAGCGTAAAAGTACAACTATTACAAAATAAACAATTTCTTATCTTCTGAAATTCTCTTTATTGCTGCTATTTATTAGACGACCTCGGTGGTCTAGCGGTCAAGCACACCGCTTTACGGCCGATGGTCGCGGGTTCGATTCCTCGCACGGCACAAACATTTGTATTCATGAGTATGATTGTTTGTATCGGTCTGGGTGTTTTCTATGTATAATATGTACGTATTTACAAAAAAAAATATCTATGTATATGTATCAGTTATCTAGTACCCATAACACAAGCTCTAGCTAGCTTAACTTGGGTATAGATGGCTCTGTGTGAATTGTCCTGAGATTATTATTATTATTACTGAAATCTTATGAAGAATTTTTCTGAGAAGGTAATAATAATTAATCATATTAGAATACTCTTTTTTATTCTACCATTCATTCAGAAAGTAGACTGTCACTGTTTTAAAAAAGTCTTGCCTAACATAAAATTTAAAATTATGTGTAAGTACCTAGTATCAAACAGCATCAATTCACAAAATAAGTATTACTAAAATAATAGTTCTTGACTAAGAAAATAATCATCATTCAAGTTATATTGATCAGACCAAACCAGTCCATACAAACATCGGGGTTAGTTATTTATGACATCTAACTAACCCCGTCTTAAATCCGAGAACTGACTGCCTTAAATAGCACTAATTAGTTTCAACGGAAATATTGAAGTTGGATCTATTTGTGACGCCACAACCCGTGATAGGAATATTTACTTATTCACTCTCAACTAACAGGTTTATAACGCTTTTATCGTTGCATAAATGCAACCCTAAGCAATGTACCATGTCAGGTTGACCTCCACGCGGTCCCCCCTGGAAACCATCGTGATAAATTCTTGGTAAATTTGTCACGATGGGCTAACTGACATGACCACATGCTTATCTTATCATCCTCCACTGGTGCCCCGCCAGCGTAAACCGTTAGCGCAGGCGGGTGCACCATTCCATTATCATAAAAAAAAATAGGTTACGAAACCGTATCGTCGCAATTTGTACTGTGAATGTTTAAATACTAATGTATTGTATAATGTTCATACACAGTAAACAATGGTCGCAGTTATTAGGTCACAATTCGCATTACACTGAATGATTATGGAAATAATTCTTATTTTATAAACTTCACATAATATGTACTTTTTATGACTCAACTCAGTCTCGGCATTAAATGTTACATTTAATGACGAGACTTGGAACTAATAAGAATAAGCAAGTATTGTAATACTTACTTGAATATTTAGAAGTTAGAATATTTTGCTCGTTCAAGATTTTGTAATATTAAACAAGTAAAAATCATTTATTTAATATATGTATATAATTATTACAAAATCTTACATTGAATATAATGTAGGATTTTGTAATAATACAAACAGAATAAAATGATAGACAACGTTATATTTATTAATTAGTAATCAGACGTAATTCGTAAGCACGTAACTTAAAATCGAAATTCAACTCGAAATCAGTAGTGCTTAAACGTAAGAAGATATCCTCTTGTATTATTTTTAGTTTTTATATGTATATTGTATCGCAAGCCTAATATAATAATATTTCAATAAATTAAAATATTTTTTAGAACTAAATTTTAAATTATACTTTAGAGTCGATTTTGTAAAATACTTTTAATTATTGCAATACATGTATATTTGCTATGTATGTATTTTGTGATAATCTGGTGGAAATATGACTAGCTGTTTTTGTGCAAATTTCCAAAAATCACTCAATAAAGAATAAATATTTTTTGCAATCGAGTTAGTCTATGACAGTTTCAGTTATCTCAACTGGGTTAGTTAGAATATGAATTGCATAAGTAGCTAGGAATACTTTTTAATATACAAAACATTCAAATAGATAGTAGAATTTTTAAACGCACTGTCTTTAGTCTAGTGTTTCCTAAGTAATTTATGTTTAATAAATATTTTACAACTTACATTTTACTTAGCATGTCCAACCAAATCTAATAACTTAAGACTAAAAGAATCTTTATGTCAGGTTTGACACTGTTGTATAATAGAATAGAATAGAAATTATTCAAATAAACTTAATTTGAGCACTTTTGAATAGTCATAACAATTTTTGTTTAAATCTACCGTTCATTCGGAATATGTCTCATTACAGGACGATTGAACTAGAAACTTGTGTGTTGCTCTTTTAAACAATCCTTGTAAGTTCACATTTTACAAGACGAAACGTGTGAATCTGCTATTGATTCTACCCTGTATGCTAACTACGAAACAAAACTGTGTATTAATATGGAAATGATACTAGATTGAATTGAAAAATTTAATATTTTTTTTGTAGATTACAATATTCTATTATTACGACATACATATGTTTCTTAGTCGGTTATCAGGTGTCTAGTACCCGTAACACAAGCTCTACTTAACTTAGGACTAGATAGCGCTGTGTGAATTGTCCTGGAATATTATTATTATTATTATAATCAAACCATTTTTGACCGGATACCCTCGTTAGTTTGGTTTGTTCAGGGATATTAATTTGTTACACAAAGTTTATGTAATCCAACTTGACATAGACAGTGGTTAGCTTCGACTCTCGAGAATCTAAGTGAGCAGTCCATTGGAATGTTACCTAATCATATTAGGGCTACTAATTATTGGAGTATTCGTGGCTGATCAAGTGCATTCCCCTGCTCTAAATCAGTATAGTTAACCATACCAACCATTCCATAGGCCACGATGACCTCAGAACTAAACATTTAGCATATTTGTTACAAATCTATACATATAAATGAAATTGGAGTGTCTGTTTGTGATTGTGAAATAATATTTTTTTACTACATGCATATGAATATAAATACGGTACATACACCAAAATAATTTTGTATGTCTGTGTATGTCTGGACAGATTTTGACAGAACTTTTTTTAGCAGGTAGCTGATGTAATAAGGAGTAACTTAGGCTACTTTTATTTTAGAAAAATAAAGTTATATTCCACGCAGACGAAGTCGCGTATACAGCTGGTATATAAATATACTTGTAAGTATATATAAGAGATGTCTTTGTTTTTCTTCTTATGTACGTGTGGTTTTAACATTCGTTATAACCTAAATCACATTTTTGATATGTAACATTTCTAAAATCATATATTTAAAAGTAAATATAACAATAATATAATAAACAACTTGGACAATTAACACAGCGCCATCTTGTCCTACGGTACGCAGAGCTTGTGTTATGTGTACTAGACAACTGATATAAATACTTAAATATTTCCTTTTAAATATATACATAATATATGTCATATCATAGAGAACACCCAGACCGATACAAACAATCATACTCATTAATACAAATGTATGCACCGTGCGAGAAATTGAACCCGCAACCATCGGAAATAAAGCGGTATACTAAACTGCTAAACCACCGAGGTCAAATTATTTGATGTGACTACTACGATCGAAACTTTGGTTACGTTCCGCGGTGGTAGGCCCACGCGGCTTTGTCAGTCGACGAATACGCAACGTCGTGAATGAAGCGAATGGTTGCGCCGGCGCATGTCGGCCTGGTGGGGTTGGTATAACAACACTCACACTTCCGGACACATGATAGTGAAAGCTTGAATGCTGACTCTGTACTGGTGCGCTGAAGATCACATCCTGGTTAACCGATCACGTGTCGCAACATATAAAGAAAGGTAAATTCATATATATACATATTATTTCATATAAAGCAAACGCGAATTGACTATTAATAAAATTTAAACACCATATTAATTTATATTTTCTTTTCTTTTAATAAATGCGGATAAATATTTTATGCTTATGTTATACGATATTTTCTTAAATAATGAACTCGTTTTATGCACTTATATTTAAAAGATTTTTATGTATATTATATATATATATTTTAATATTTGGTGTAATAAAAAACATTCATAGTTAATCATAATAATATTTTCTGATAATCCCAATCATCTATGAATGACAGTTAATTAATTGCTTTCAGTTAAATTGATCTTTGGTATAAAATTATTTAATAAATACATTTGCAAATTTATGCATTTAAATCCCTATTCATTCTATCATAATTTAAGAGCTACGCTCTTGTCGGTGAATCTATTGCCACTTTCCACGATCTTCCATCATGGTCTGTAAATGTTGACACGACACGACTCCAATTTGTGTCTTTAACTTGCTTGATGTAGCTGTGCATCAGTACATGCATATAAATTAACAAAATGCATTTTAGGTGTATAGGTATCAAATAAGTCTTAGTTATTAAATAAAATATTTTTAGTTTATTTTAAATAAATATTTGTAATGATAAATATTGGTCCGATAATTTTATAGTTATTCGTGTCTGTCTACAAAGTCTTGCTGTTACTTGTAGAATAACTACCATTATCAATCCACAACCTACTGTATACCTTTCTGGATTAGGTATATCTTAATAATATTATAAACGCAAAGGTCTCTAAGTATGTGTTTGTTACTCTTTCACGAAAAACCTGCGGAACTAATTTTGTTGAAACTTTATTACATATAGGCTATATTTCTTATTGAAATTTATATGTTGAAATTTAATGAGGGTGTAACCGCGGGCACCACTAATATGTAATCATACTATAGTACTATTACTACTATACTATACTATTAGTACTATAGTACATTTGCCTATATCTACTATATATTTGATGTGCCTGTGTTATATATCTATATTCCCTTATGGGGTAGAATTGATATTTATTCTTACATACTCTTGACGGCCTCGGTGGTCTAGCACACCGCTTACGATGGTCGCGGGTTCGATTCCTCGTACGGCACAAATATTTGTATTCATGAGTATGATTTTTTGTATCGGTCTGGATGTTTTCTCCTATTATACTATTACCCATTGTAGGCAACAGATAGTACCTATACCACGGTCCATTTGGTGGTTCGTCACCAAGTATTCAACTATAGAAATAAAAACGTACAGAGCTTAGCGAATTTCATCATTTTAGTTTAAATGTTAACTTAGCATTTCAATGTTCAGACTATTTCATATAGGTTTTAATTATTTACATTTTTTACTCACTCTCCGGCGATGGTAACACCGATAACATACCAAAGTATTTTGGCTGCTATATAAGGCGGTCGGCTCGCTTTTTGCTACGTGAAATTCCAATTTACAACTAGTGTTGCGTTTACCCTGATACCAACAGTGGATAATATATCTAACTAATCCGTCACGGATAATAGTCGTGAAGGTATTATTTTACTCACTTTGTGTGTTAGGAATGTTATTTTGCGACGAGAACTAAGTATATCTAATGTGATCTTTATCCAGTTTATTTATAACGTTAGCGGTGTGACTTATGATATGCTAAATTCAATCAAATATATACACAAAATACCATATACGCTTAACTTTTTACTAAAGCGTTGCGTTGAATACCTTAGGAGCTGTCCATTATTTACGTTATACATATACTCATTTAGCGGGTCAAGCAAGTATGACATAGTATGACAAAGGGTGAAAAGAGTCCTAAAGTTCTTGATATCACATTCTAAAATGTAATGGCATATGTAAGTAATTTTTATGTATGATAATGACATAATGCGGGGTGCATTGCTAATTATCTATGCATACGTAAAGATTAGAAGAGATCAGGTCAGTTGGCCCAACGTGACAAATTCTCCAGGAATTTATCACTAGCGAGAACTGCGTGGAGATCAAACTGATATAATACAATACTGGCAATGTTATTATTAGACCACATTCCTAACAATCCTCTTTTCCCTTTACGTAGGAATTAAAACGTTGTTTAAATTTAATAATTTGTGGCTGTTAAATTACGTTCTATTATAATTGTGACCAACTGTGACAAGAACATGGGAGGAATCGAAAATATGCAATTCCAGACATGGAATTTATATCCATAAATTGCCCCTTTTGTAATGATACTGATAATGTACATTTATACAAATGATAGAGTTTTGAAAACACTAAAGTACAAAGAAGTACACTAAGTTACAAAGAAGAATATGAAATCTAATATTTTCTTTTTGTAATGTTTAGACTATACTTGGATGGTCGCGTTCGATTCTTATACATACCTGTACTTTTATCGCCACGTCTAAATCCCCTAACTGAAACATCTTAACAATGAAGCTGCATGGCGGCTAAAATAAGCGATACAAAGGACCACGAATGTTATTTTATACAACCTAGGTAGCAGTTGAAAGATTTTTTGCATAAAAGAGTTAATTCCTCTTTCATCAATCTTTACTAATTAGCGTAGCCTGTACAATCATTCAATTCGGATGAATTGAATGATTGAACATGAGGGGATCCTCATTCCATTCATTCACGTCATGACATAGGTACTGGTTACTTTTTTATTACATTCCATTTACAGCTCTATATATCAAACTATACTTGACGGGCTCCGCGATTTCGCGGTTTTGGACACCATTATTCATCCGATGATATCGGGTTTGATTCCGCGCATGATACAAACCAATTCGTTATAGGAGTATATTATTTTTATCGATCTAGGTGTTTTCTATGTTTTTGTATAAATTTACAAAATATGTACTTAATTATAATATCAGTTATCTAGTACCCATAACATAAGTCCTGCTATGCTGATATTCAGGGTTATTATTATCATAATCTAAAGCGCGATCATCCTGGAAACCTTTATCGCAGAGTCCTGATGAACTATACATCATAGCGGCTCATCCTATCTTTCTTCACTGCTTAGCACACTTCCCTATGGCAGACGGGCCAAAGTTATATTGAAGGAATATAACTATTATATAAATAAACATAGTATAGCATATATTCTAATTAATATTCTGTTAATTACTTATTTATTAGTTGTTATTAAAATGTTATTTTAACACAGAGCAGACAGACAGATTGAAAGGATATAAAAATCATATTACAAGTGTGTTTGATACAACGCATATCATCTGAGTATATTCCTAAATATTCACTTTGACTTTATTTCTATTATTTTAAAATTGGCACCTGTACAAAACAAATATATATATATATATATATATATATATATATATATTCATTTGTAATTGTATGACCACAAAGTATATGTGCAAATATTGTAAAACAATTACATTGATATTGTTAACAGTATGGCCATACATTTCGTAAATGTTGTTAAAAATACTCATAGAGTTATTGAAGACGTAATAAGTAACAATTTTCTCGAGCGAAATGATTACAACCATAAAATACGAGAGCACCGCAAATAGTATAGGAATTTAACCATCTAAGGACTTACCTCAGAAAAGTTTGTATCGAACACTAATGAGAACGAGCACAATAGATCATTGAAGGATGCTGTGCCTCAGGTCTATAGACATCTCATAATAGCTTTAACGACCTAATGAAAGGAAAAATCCCTATTGAAATAATAATATAAAGAATAGATAAATCTTCAGTATCTTGTGTGAAACAGAAATAGTTTAATTTTATAACAAAACAAAAGAAAAACGCTTAAAACTTAAAAATAAGCTATTCCAAAGTAGGTAACTAGCAAATTAATATGCATTGAAAAGTAAATTCCATCATTGGAGTAAAAAAATCATTTCACCCCATTCGTTTCACCCCGTCGAAAGTTCTGAGGTAACAAACATAAAAAATATCTGTCGAATTGAGAACTTCCACCTTTTTTGTATTCGGTTAAAAAGGCGAACGCTGTATTTGTTGTATAAGTGTATAGATATATATTATATATATGTATATAATATATATCTAAATAGATAACCAAGCATATTTTGATGCAATAACCCAATATAAAATAAATTATATTATAAATTAAGACAAACACTTGTTTCTGTCAAGCTAAAATCAAATTATGTAATAGTGTTGCACATTTGCAATAAAATTAATAATTTATTTATTATTAAAATTGCCACAAATTATTGAGTCATATTTAATAATTAATTCAAAACATTTAAAAGCATTCTAATTCCATGTATTTATTTCATCACCTCACTATGATACTTTCGACCTTGATTAATAATAATATGACGTAATTAAATCAAACATCTTGGTCGCTTCCATTTAACGAAATTATATAAAAGAACACTTTCCAAAGCCTTTTTTATTGATCAGAGAAGACAAAAAATTTAGTACAGATTACTCTACCTATATGTGTATCTAGTATATGTACCTATATGAGTATCTATGTATAAGTTCATTTTACATCCGTAATATCTGTAGACGATTATCCAATGCTGGGTAAATTGTGTATTTTGTATGTCTGCGTCACACCTCCCTATCTTTGCAACATTTTTTTTATTAGAGCTCCGTTCCTATTGGTCGTAGTAATCTTTATTAAAATAAAATCAATACAACTTTTGAATAGCCATATTTTTTATACTACCACTCATTAGGAACGCAGATTCATCATAAAAAGAATGAGCAAGAAATTTGTGTGTTGGCTCTTTTGAATAAATGTTAATTTAAATCAATTATTATATACAGTGACAAGTATTAAAATATTGTAGATTCCTAATGTTCCTCAGATCCCTCTTTATATATTTTCTCTTTTATTCAGTCATCTATAATGAGCTATTCAACGAGAAAATAATTTTCAAAGTAGTTCAGTAGTACCAGAGAATTTCCCGACAAGCATAAACTTTACCTCGTTATAGTATTAGTATAGATACGATAGATAGATAT